ACCAAGCAGCGGCTGTTTGCCCAAAATGGTTGCACCAACTTAGGCCTGAAAACAAAGGTTCCTTCACTGAGGTATGTGCCAGAGTAGTAAAAGTAGGACAGGTGTGTTTCCATTGCACCAAGCATTACCAGTCAAAGTGCACCGAAGTAAAGCAGTTAAACATATTACCATGAATATACTATGATGTTACTTGTAAACTTTTACTAGGATTATCACGAAAGTACGACAGTCCAATCGCTGAAACTGAACTTTGTTTAATGCAAAAATAGTTCACAAGATGCAACAATAGCGGCGTTTGTACTTCATCCATGTCACCCAATCGCTATGTCAAACAAAGGGAAAAGACCAACTTTTCCCATACTATAAAGTAGCGGAAACCTTACGAGCCCCGACCCTACCAGTCACCGCGAACAAGCGAAGCAAGCTGGGCTCCTATCCTATTGTCGGTTGCAATTTTAACAACATGTAACATTTTGATTGACCGACAACAACCGAACCTCGCCAAAGGCCGACTCGTTTATGCAACAGTTGCTTTTCGATGCATACGATTTGTACTTCCATTTGCTTCGGCTGCTACAGCCACAGCATGTGTCAAGTACCAGATGCAGATTGCAGAGACGTTCCCAAATCTACCCAGCAGCGCGTCCCTACATCCTCGAATGCAAAGCAGAAGTAAGAAGCAACAAGCCTATATGCCCCAACTTATCTTAATCTAAAGAAAACCCCTTAAGGGGGTTAACAACAAGACAATCTGAACCAGTGGAATTTTGTTGATGATCAGATCGGTCTTCGGGTCAGGCCGATTAGTTTAATGCGCCTCACTCAAAATCCAAACTCTATGCACTAGGTAAGTCCCGACTTGTGCGGGTAGCACTGAGAACCACAGTTGATTGCGAGACAGTGCTACTGTTGGCATACTGCCTCCATTTTTCCCGGTGTTCCATGGGACTAACTCTCTCTGAATAAAATAGTTTAAACGATTAGCATAAGGGAGGTAGCAGTAAGCGCGTTTTGGTTCTTGGTGTACTAACAATGAGGAAGCCCACTCTCATGAAAAAGAAGAATGGTAGTAAATTTGCGAACTTCTCTCTGCTGATTATCTCATGCCACTGCCAATTTCAAAACCTTCCGTAACGTAACACTACAAAGGTAGTGGCCTGATGTTACTGCAAATTGCCGTTCAGCCTCAACAGATATCGGTAAACGTTATCAATCGTTGGCGCAAAGTGTGCAACAGACTTCGTTCGGAACGAGGTTTAAAGCCAACAATTGAAGAACAGTAGTCGCGACTTCCACTGAAGTCAAAGCGGCGTCCGTGAATACGCTACTGCTGAGAGTGGGAAGATCGAACTACGAGCACATGATTGTTTTGTTTGTAGTTGGAATACTGAAGTTAGATAGTGTAATTTGCTTCTCCCAGTGTTGATGTTTCCACGCTTACCTCAATGCAATTTTCAATGGAAACGCCTTTTGGATGAGCAGACCGAGATTTTAGGGAGGCAGTACATGGTGCTTTATAGCCTAGAAGAATCCCCTACTTAAGTTGGGGGATTGTGGAAAGTAGTGGACAACGCTGTGTCTGAGGACAAAAACGGTGGTGTCGCCAGCATTGTCGTTTGCTACCTGAAAAAATATGTAACCCAAGCGACTACTATGTTTGAAACCGTACCAAGCAATGAAAGGAGCTTATGATAGTGACTCAGTTCTTCCGGTTCTGCTAACAATGCATTAGGTTCGGAAACATACAGAGTGGAGTGTACAGTAAGATGGAGAGCATAATACAAGCTTTTGTGATACACGTGGGTTGATGGAGTTGTGTCATTCACTTAGAAACTCAAATGGTCTTAGCCCTTTCTAGGTGTTTAACTGCTTTGGATTGGGAGAAGGGTCTCAGTTGGTGCACCAACTAATCCGTAGTAGCATAAGGCCACTAAATGTAGTTCTGCCTGACAAAATAAGCACCCCATTTTCTCGAATTGAACAGTGAAAGTTCGGTCATTCACAATGAAATAATTAAAAGCCTCGAAATCTATTTTCTCGTTCGGTTGCATGAGGCAGTGCAAGGAAACAAAGGTATAATACAGACAGGAATAACTAAAGCCTAACAAGTCCCGTAGGAAAATATGTGGGAAATATGAGTTCAACGAGAAAACGTTCAGAACAAGGCAAACCACGCATATGTCGACTCGCTATAATACTCACGTTAACACATTCAAATCCGCCCACCACATTTCGTGGTGGAGTGGTGAGCATAGTGATTGTTTGCATTCCAATCTTTACTCAGTGTACAGAAGTCTGGTCACGTGCTACTTATAGAGCAGTGTATTTTGTACTCTTTCTTGATGGTAGATAAGCTGGGCGAAGAAATGGCAGAATTGGAAGCAGCATTTGGTAAATAGTCCGCAGAATGAAAAGTCAAATATTAAACAGTGCACGGGACGGCTGGTTATTCTGGAAGCTGGTTGGGTTGTTTGAAGCGGTTTAGTTCCAAGGCTATAAAAACCCGTCATTTCAGGTTCTAAGTCATTTATCATGATATATTTGCTAACATTGAAAATGAAACTTGTGCCCACTGGTAAATCATTTCGTCGGAACAATAATCTCACTTTGATGTAAATGCACTATACTCAGTACACTCTATCGCAAACATTTTCACCTGGCTGTAACATTGCGGACGAATCAGTTACCGTCCAACTGCTTGTTACTTTTCATCCTGAACACAGTCTTTCAGTGAAATGCGATTGTGAAAAGTGACCACAGGTAATGCTTTTCGCTGACTTCCCATTTCTCAATTAATGGTTTAATGAAGCGAAAGTAGCTTTAGGTACCACAGTTACGGCTAACAGAAAACCAGAGCAGTGATCAGTAGGTGAATGCTCACAATACCATTGCGTTAGTAGCTCATTTTCTAATTTCGCTACTGCCGCTTAACACTCTTGATCATCCAGAGTAGACAGTGGGAGAAACCTACAATACACTCAATCATTATTACCAACAGTAAATTTTCTCACACACACACACTGAGTTCCATCCAGATAATGAAAATGGTGGGAAAAGCTGAAGCATTTATTTTGCAAATTGCCGCAATTGGCCAGAGTTAGCAACTTATATCGAGCTTCTAGTTTAGACTAATGATGCAAAGTGCAAGAAATATTTGTCCGGGAAACCAGTCTGCAATTCCAACTGCAAATCCTAACTGACCCATTTATTTGTGATCAACAGTAAAGTAGAAAAATTATGCTGCAGAGTGAAGCATTTCCCTTTAACTCGTACATCGGACACATCACGACAAGTTTATATGTAAAGTTAAGGGTTTATCTACTGTGACCTTGTCAGTCCTCATTAAAACGCAATTCACGCATGTCACCAAGATACATCTGGCGATACCAGTTGCTTAGTTAACAGTAGGATACACGAACAGTAAGTTTATCTTTTGCGACTTGTAATCATAAGGAAGCTCCTCATATACGAGGATTGATGGATCTGTCAAGGGCTTGTTAACTGTGCTACTGGTGAATGAATGTGAATGTAATTCTAAGGTCACATCCAATCACTGCTTTCAAAAAGCTTCTGTAATATAACGTGACGTAAGTTGAATGTCTGCTAAACGACCGAGTGAATGCCTAAATGCTTTGACGAATAACACGGTTAGAATCAATCTTGTATTATATCGTAAAAGAGTTTTGTGACTATCGAATCCGATACTGTTTAATGAAGTAAACCATGCAAGGAAAGTGGTTGTATCCTACTGAGATGGTGCAAACTCATGTAACATACACCCCGAGAATGTTGCGTCTTGCTACTGCACTAAAATCAACACTACTAATAATAATACGGATGTTTCTCTTGCCGTGAGAAACTGTGTCTATAGTGGCACAGAGCAATTGGTATAGTAGTATCTACGTTCTTGCATGGGTGACATGCATGGGTTGAGTATGGGGAAATGCGTTTCATGTATTGATATTCTGGTGCATGGTTGAGACAAAAGCCTAGTTTTGAAAACATTGATGTTTATATGTTGTTGGCCCCCACTTGGAATAGCTCCTTGAGGGAATTTCCAATGTATATCTACGGATTCTGGTAGTTAAATCAAGGTAATTGACAAGTCTGCTTCCAAACTTTGCCACATTGTCATATGGTCTGAGTGTTATTGGTAGTTCATTCCACAGATAGCTGTATCTGAACAGGAAGAAATTAGAGCGGAGGTTCGTTCTAGCCTTCTGTATATTCAATGTAAACTCTTTGTTGCGCTAGAGTTGAACTAAGTGGTAAATAGAGTGTAGGCAGGTTGGAATAGGTCATTATGTGTAACAGGTTGAAAATCAGCAACAAGTTGTGCTTCAACGGTCGAATTCAAAGTGGTTCCAGATGATGTTCATTGCAACGTTCTCGGTAACACATTACAGTGTTTACCAAGCAGATGTCTAGGAAATAACCTCTGAGGGTGCTCCACAGCAAATCTACCACTCTTTCTCATATTTCCGTATATTATGCTGCAGTATTCGAAGATGGAGCGAGTGAGTAGCTTGAAAAGCTCAACTCTAGCACGAGTTGTGTGTAGTTTGTTTGATATATTGAACTTAGACTGTCTGGCACGAGCTATTTGGTATTGGGCCAGTTCGACGAGGTAGACGAGTACCTAATTCCAACATCTCGCGTTGACGGCTGTGTAGGGACGCGTTCATTGGTTAGGGTGATAGAGCCTTCCACTGTGCCAGTCGTCTGGTTACGTCAGGATGTCATATTTAGCCGAACCATCCTCGGCATTGTCCCTGAAGGTGAGATAAGTGTGAGAGAACCATCTGGACGATTATCTGAAAGTGTCATGCCACAAAAATAGTAGTTAACCAAAACTTAAACTTGGGAGTAAGCGACTTCTGTTTTCGTTACTATTTTTTGGCTAAGACTACAGTTTTCGTCTAGTATTAATGCTTGATCGTCATTCGCCTTTATTTTTGTTCCTTGATGTGGAAATGAACTCAAATCCATTTTCTTTATAGGGTGTGTCCAATTACCTGATTGTCAGTTTGGCCGTGGCTGACTTGATGGTAGCCACATTGCCGATGCCTATTTCAGCTATCAATGGTGTTTCGGATGAATGGTGGCTTGGTAAGTGAAGAATAGGTCCACTACTTAAGAGAACCCATATGAATAACTGAATGTTTGCACTAATTTCCGTAAGCCTCATCACAAACTTCCGAGAAATGTGTATCCATTCGTACATCACAATAGGTTGGTATGTAGTGGATATCATTTTGTTGAAGCAACACTTTGGTTTTCTCTATAATAAAATAATTTAGCCGACTTTCGAGTTAGAGGGGATGAAAGTATGAAATCAATGTTTCTTTCTGTTTTCTGGAATGTTCTGTTAGGATAAACCAAAGTTCTACTCAGTGTGACTAGATATTTTCCAGGTATCTAGCTGCGATCCCCACTCCGCATTACACGGAATGTCGTTCTTGCTGGAAACAATGATGAACAGTGATTAATAATGAATTATAACGGGTAAAAAAGCAGGTGCTTGACATGTCCCGTAGGTTGTTTAGAATGAGAAAGATACATCAAGCGATAATGATATCGTCAGTTCGAGCGATTACAGATTTAACTGCGTTGCCATATAAAGGGCTTGAAATTATAATGTAAGCACACAAAGCCATAAGGAAAGTGGTTATTGGTCACGTAATAGGCGAAAAAAAAATAAAATATGGCAAGGACAACGCCCACCTGTGTGCAACTATCTTGGGTCGACGCGATACAAAAATCCAGTTTCTATTGTAGTAGCGTTTATCAAATTTTGTGCAAGGGGTTTGGAGTGACTCATTCTCGAGTAGGGTTACGGCACTATCCCTTGTCTGTTGTGAATTAGTGCCAGCATCTGGTGGTCAAAGGCAATAGCACATAGTGTAAATGTGAGTTTCGTCAAGGCGTTTTTTATGAACAGATAGAGTGGGTGCATTAATTACATGTTCCGAGAGGGCGTTCCAAGGCTGTGACACACGAAGGGAAAAAGGAATAACTTTAGCGTGAATTGGTTTAAACGTCTTCCATTAGAAGTAATAGCCAGTATAAGGGATGGTGACATTGACTGCCCTATTCCGTCATAAATAACCATTATGAAAAAACTGCTGCCACCTTTCGTTCAGCATCGTTGCTCTCGCTGAATATTCTTCCACAGTCATTCCCATAGGTATGCACAATTTCATTCAACTTCTTCGTGTAACGATACCCTTCCGGTGTTTACGTTTTCAACTTTACTGATAAATGAGTAAGAAGTTTGCCATAAACAATAGACAAGTACCATTGTTTTAGCACCTAACCGGAATGCGGCTTCAAGGGTAGCTCAAGTATAGTTCATCTGTGTCTGTGCTAAGCGGTTGGGAAAACGGCGTATCTTCCTCTGATAACTTATTGTATAACTATTTCCAGTCGCTGTAACACGTGCTATTGAAGAATCATGACGCTCTGAACTCTATTCGCGCCGACCCTTTCACTTAGAAGCGCGTGCTGGGACTACTCTACAATAATAGCTGAATCTAAAGCGTAAGCACTCATCCCTGGAATTCTCTCCTACCTCCGCAATCGACTTCCTGTATCCAGACAGTACACTGGCCTACTTTTTGACGTATTCCTTCCCTCCCGTTGTATTTCGATTTTACTGTATCACACACGACTTTCTCGTATCGAGTGACGCCATATTTCGTCACGATGGTAATTTGTGGTTAGGCTATTCTGCTCTGAGTCAGTTTATTTCCCGCCTGATTACCTTTATTAATGGCAAAGACAGTGGGATCAAGCTAATCTGAGAGGCGCAATTGAATGCTCCACATATTCTCTGAAACCCATAAGCCTTTGATGACGCTATGCGTACCACTGAATGGAAAGTTATTTTGTGAACTTAATGTAGGTAATGATTTTGAGGGTCATTTTGAACAACACGTCGTGTAGATGGATTGCGACGCGTAATCTCAATGTTGACCGCGATTTGCACTGAAGTGAACCTTGGTGTTTCGATCACGAGGACCGTAGATGATGCAAACAGAAATTGGATATTGCCCGCCCGGTGGCTTAGGGGTAGCTGTCACAACTAACATCCCGATGCTCCCGGGTTCCATGCTAGCTAACTCTATCTGATGAGATGTAATAACATCGAAACGCGTCATAGTATTGCAGTGTTTTCGGGCGGGTAACACCCAATTTCTATTTGCATTAATGTACGCAAGTTATTGTCGTGAGCAGTAGGCGAACTTTACAACTCCTGTCAAGCGTTTTTTGGAAATTTTGCCCAGATGAAAACAGCGAGGACCTATCAAAAGATTAGATTTCAACAAAATGCGGAAATGTGTCCATCACAAGAGAGAAAGCATCCGCTATAACTCTGTATTCTTCAAACCTTTAAATTTTGCTGCTTACAAACGAAAACTAAACGTCGTTACTGGCACCTGCACTATATATATATATATATATATATATATATATATATATATCACGAGGTTAACATATATGATTCATTAATTCATCCGTTGATTAGTTTATCACACAGGCTTTAGAAAAAGTCCTTTATTTATCTATCCATAGAACTTTGGGCTTTTTTAAATAAAAGTTATTTAGTACTATCTGCATAGACACTGGAAACCAGGCTATTGGTGTCATCTAAATCCTTACAAGAGCTGGGATCGGAGACTCTCATCGGGAATGATCTTTTATGCTGATTTAGTTTATTTGTGGTGCATGGTTCAACTGGGTCACTTAATCGAAGATAGGGTGGAATATCAGTCGTTTAGCTGCTTAGGTATTGTAGCTGTCTGATGTGACTGTGCATTGGGGACCAGATTTCTAAGTATTAATGTTGCTGAAAAAGAAGCGTAAAGCAAAAAGGGTAAGATTTGCAGCAATGAGCCTTAGGAAATATACGGTAATGTAGACTTTATTTATGCTTTAAAAATAGCTGCAATTTACGAGGGCTTTCTTTAACTCTCCCATTAATGTCGCAATTATCTCTACCCTGCCTTCGAAAATAATTCCGTTAAAGTAACAAAGTATTAATTTGCATAAAGTTGATAATAGCAGTTTGGGTTTTGTGCTGGGATGTTGACTTGATCGTCAACAACGGCAACTTGTTTGCAGGCAGTTCGTCACCAGTCGGACCGACATCTCCAGTCCCTCTATACAAAATTCCCAGCCATTAATTAACAACCTTAAGATTTGCTAACGTACTATGAAGTAAAAATGATCCCTTTCTACACTACCGCCATGTTTTGTTGGGTTAATCTTGAAACAGCGAAAGAGGTCATTCCACAACGCTTGGTTAACTGCGCTCAAATAATCATGAAGCTGACAACCAAAAGAATAAACAAGATACTCGAGTTTCGGCTTGCGACCTAGTTTACTTTCAATAGATTGATCCAGAAGCAAATGAAAGGAGTCCCTAAGGGATCCCAATGATCAAAAGTTATTGTGGCGATTGTGGTGTAAACGTTGGAAGAGAAATGGCTACAAACCATTGAGCAAAACTGTGGCTCCGATGGTTAGATGTCAAGCTGGTGAGAAACAATTTAAACCAGGTGCAGACCGCATACAATCTGAACAATAGTGCAAAAGACGGAATTTTATTTCGAAACATTACCAGAGGTTAAAGGTAACCTCTGTTTCGTGGACTTGTTGATTACTATCACCCTAAATGATGAATCCCAAACCACGATTTAAAGAAAGAAATGAATACTGTCTAAGAGCAGAACTTCACCCAGCGATTTTACATGTCACCAAATGAACTGCGCTGGATAGAATCGCACTGCCATGATTTGTATGCAAACGGAAAAAGGAAAAAGCACATGCTCCCGTCATTTGGAATCAATGGTTAACCACGGGGTTTTGTCTGAAGATATTTGAACAACACAAATGACAATATCGGCTCTACAACTACGAAGAAAGAGCGAATGGCCTAACTGTATATGAAAAGCGAATGGAAAGTGACAGCTTGAATACTCAGACCACAGCACCTGACTGTAGCCGACAAACACGCAGCTATGGTGAGGACAAGTCTGTAGATGCTAAAAGGAAAATTGGAAACTCAGACAAGGGAATGTAATGTGCGGAGTACAGTGCCAACACTGTTAAAGAAGTGCGTCGACGAAGCAGCAAGTGATCGAGAATAATATTGGGACACAAACAATCCTGCTAAAATCACTGTGCATCATCACTGGTCTCGGCGAACGTTGATGGAGAAGGATAAAACTATAGTGGGGCTAAAGTAGCCAGTCAAACACAAGGTAAAAGAATAAAAGAAAGCAATCTCTATGAAGCATGGTTTTAACAAAGAATTCGATAAACAAGCTGATAGATCTTGCACGTATCTAGCACCACCAGAGAAGATAGGAAGTCAGATGAAGAAAAATCCTTTGATCGGAAAATTAAAGCACTTCGGACCGGTCTTTGTAACCGTGACATTCCGCCGACGGAATTAAAAGTTTTCGCCCCACCCCGCAATACAGTTCGCTGCAACTAATTGCGATCGCCTAAACACCCCGGAGTCCAACGATTTACAACTAATTTGTTGAAGCAGGATTAGGAAGGTACGAAATGTATGTATAGGGGCGCCAGGTGACCGCTGACATCCACCGCGTTTGCTCTATCGCTGACCTCATGCTCAAACTTGATTTAAGCACACAATTATCATTGCTTACGCTCATGCTCTCTAACCTGACCTGCGCTATTTAATGCGCCCCATCTTTCGGATCCATCTTTTGGGAAGCAGCCAACTTCGAGATCTACACAGCGAGCCGACAACATCAGCTATCGGCCTCTAACTGAGATGCCATGAGATATTTTGTACATGTTACCACCCAGTTGTTCTACTTACACCTCAGAGCGAATTCTGAGCGAAACACCCAGTCGTTTAAACCTGGCCAACATGCTTTGTTACGCTTCGCAACACACTACAGATGTGACGGCCTGGAAAACTCACTGAATTCAACGTGTACAGGAAAATCTGTCAATAATGCGTGTCGACCTTACTGCCTACCAATTTAGCTGAAAGGCATCTATCGACAGAGCCGTGAAGCTATCAGTTGTATTGCCCGATCGACGCAAGCCGACCCGACTGTGACCAAAAG